GAAAAGTAACTATTGCATTACTTTAAAAAAATGTTTAACCCTCCATGGTATAATTGGCCATTTTAACTACTTTTGATGTTTCCTCCACATTTCACCTTTAAAAACTATTTACTTTGTTTGGTATCGTTGTTTTCAGCACAACCTCACGTGTCTGAATCTACAGTCATGTTTTCATTTTGACAGAATGTATTAACACAATTGATCTAAAATCAGACAAAAAACATAAAATCAGAGCAGAAAAAGTTATATTTTACTGTAACAACCACAAACATGTTTATTGATCATATTTCATAACTTTAAATGCAAATATAAATTGTCAAAGTTATTTGCATCCATTTACCTTTGACCTTGATTTTTTAAATAACCATTTCAAACTATTTACAGAACAATCAGCTGTTCTTCAATAAGATGCCACAAATTATTTGTGCCACTGTGAGAACATCACAGCTGATACCTGCAGGTCTGACAGCAGCAGGTGTGTCACTCCTGTTTCTCCCTGGAGACAACAGTCGCCTCATTGTTCTGACACACAACACAAAACTTTCCACAACACACTAACTACACAAGACAACACACTAACTACACACTCCAAACACGCTAAACGTCACAAATCTCTCATATCTCAAAACTCTCTCTCTCTTTCTCTCTCGCCGTTACTCCTAAAACTTTCCTTGTTTAAAGGAAAGACAGACTGCAGGTCATAAAGCTGTAGCATCCAGATTACTTACAGCTACTTCCTGCAGCTGATATAAGATGCGGTAACCTGGACACAGCTTCAACTGTCTGTTTGTTGAAAAATAGTAACGGATCACATTTTCTTGTTAGTAACGGTAATGGCGTTGTAACGACAGGAAAAGTAATTAGTTAGATTACTCGTTACTGAAAAAAGTAACGTCGTTTGTAACCCCGTTACTTTTAACGCCGTTATTCCCATCACTGGTCATTCCACATGTCTAAATACAGGGTAACAAAATACAGTTTGCATCTAATCAGTAAGTGCAATAAAAGCAGATGATATCAAAGGAAGTTCAGTAGAGAGCAAATATACAGATGCACTGATATATACAGATAAGGGTAGTATAAATAATGAAAAAGTTATGAACAGAGAGATCAAACATACAGCTGAACTACAGACAAATGTACAGCATACAGATGTTCAATATTGCTGTACAGGTGGGCAGATATACAGGTGTACTGTGAACAAATATACAGATGTGCTACATATATACAGATGTAGCAGTGTGAGGTAAACAGATCTACAGAGTGCTATGAATATATCTACAGCAGTGGAAGCGTAGCTCTCTGAACAGACTATAATAGTGAGCAGTGTAGGCACTATAACAGAGACTCTGTCAGTGTCCTAAAACTATAGCAGTAACCAATGTGAGCATGTGGTGAATGTTGAGAATGAAATGATCACGGTCACTGGGAGGACGAGTGTAGAAGGGTTCAGTGAGTGTGGATGGAAAGGTTCAGCGGGGGACTGAGTTCAGTAGGGTGACAGCTGTGGGGAAGAAGCTCTTCGTAAACCTGCTGGTTTTAGTCTGAAGACTCCTTTAGCGCCTTCTAGAGGTGAGAAGAGTTTATTGGCAGGATGAGAGGAGTCCCTGAGAATGATGCGTGCTCGGCTAACCCTAACCCTCTTGTGGACATCCTCAGTGGCAGCAAGTGGAGTCCCTGTGATGCGTTGGTTTTCACCACCAGCCTTGTGCTCAGCAACAGAGCAGTTTGCATACCAGACTGTGACACAGTTGGTCATGATGCTCTCTATCACACAGCGGTAGAAGTTAACCAGTATATGAGTAGAAAGGTGGTTCTTCTTCAGTGTCCCCAAGAGCTTGAAGCTGGAACATAAGAAGGAAAAGCATGTCTTTGTGCCCCTTTCCCTGTTAATGCCCTACCTACGGTGGCCCTGAGAAGCCAAACGGACTGCAACTTCAGAAAACACTTGCAAAAAGACAAATGCTGCAAAAAGACAAATGCTGCAAAAAGAAAAATGCTGCAAAAAGAAAAATGCTGCAAAAAGAAAAATGCTGCAAAAAGAAAAATGCTGCAAAAAGAAAAACGCTGCAAAAGCACACACAACACAACGGAAATGTTTCTGGGGAGACAATAACC